CAAGTCAACCTGGGAGGGAAGAGTTTTTACAACATTAATATTATTCTTAATATATCAGGTCAGAGCTCTGAATCCCAGTTAGTCACAAATGGCAATGAAGCTTAAAGGTTTGTATCTGTGTTCACTCAATAAAGACAAGAAAAGAGGGTAGTGGGAATATGAGACGTTGTAAAGTGCTCTCCTCCTCTCATCAGCTGTAATGATCAGAGCTGTGAGGATTAAGTACCAGTGTCCCAGTAAAGAAGCTTTGTGATGCCAAATGCAGGACCACTGGCTCCCTTTAAGCTGCCTTATTTGCTCTACAGCTCCTTCAGATTGGATTAGAGGCGCTGAAACGGTGTGTCGCGCCCTCCTGTGGCTGAGAGAGAAACTGCACGGGAGAAAGGAAACAATGAATCAGCACACACACAAGATAGAGCACTGTTTCAAATGCTTTGTGAATTAGAATCAGAAGGTAATGCAGTGACAAAATATATATTTTAAATAAAATATGTATTCATTTAAATTAAGTTTGAAAGTGAACATAGATAATCTAATCCTAATTTCCTTTCTTGCTAAAGATTTATAGGTCTGGTATGTTGCATATATGTCTGCATGAAAATCAACTTTACAAGAGAAACCCCTCAAGCCTCAATTTCTTCAGTCCATAAGATTTTTGTGCTACTGTCACCTACAAAGGAGGTCATGAAACTAAACAATTGGAGAAATCATGTCAGCCCAAGATGGACTGCACACATGATCACCCACAAGATTCACGGTGCTGTCCCTGTTTTTATACTCTCAGGCTATGGAATTAACTCAGCCAAAGGGATGAAGAAACAGGAATTGTACTTAAGTGGGTCATTCACAAGACCCAGTGCATGACAGAAGAAGCACCGGAAACCTATCTGTCACAGCCTCTCCTCACATTATACAAGTTATTCAAAGTATTGGGATTAACTTCAATGAGGGAGGGAGAAATCATGTGACCGTGTATCCGGGGATTCATACAGCTATCAGTGTGAAACACTGTTGTTTCTGTGTGAAACAGGGGAGCATGGCGAAGGCCTGTAACATTGATCTCGCCTTACCACTGGGATCCTCTTTCTCTGAATTGCAAGTGTAGCAAATGAGACTTATCTTAGTTAAACGGTGAAAAAAGAATGCCTCTCTCCTCTCACGCTTTGAAATGAACTGAAGTTTTTTTTTTTTGCTATGCATAGTAAATTGAATGCATGCTGAAGAACATTTCTAAAGAAAATGCATCTGAATAGCATCATGTGCTGGCTGTAAATGCAGTGAATAATGATTCTTGGATTTCATTTAAATATAACTGTAACTTAACAGATTTCTATGCTTTGTTACCAGAATTTCGTGAGAAGCCTAATCAGAAAATTGCATGTATGTTTTGTAGTAAAAGCTGTGATTGTCTTATATTTCCACGGCTCTTAGAGCAACAGTAAAAAAACAGAATGTAAAGACTGGTGTATAGTTTTAGTTTCACATGAGTTTGACAACATTGCCTTAATAAATAAATGGATTGAATAAATGAAATACTCTGTAGAACCAGCTGTAAGTGCAAGAACAGCTTCTCCATCACTGTGGAAAAAAGTATTTCCACAGCATCATCCCGCCACCGTGTCTCAATACTGATTGGTTCTTTTAGAAGAATTGGATTGCATGTTATGTGCCGAAAATTTCAATTTCTATCTTATCTGACCAGAACACCTGCTAGATTGCTTGTGGCAAACAGCAGAAAATACTTCTTATGACTTTCTTGCTCAAGTGGTTTTCTTTTTTCCACTTTTTTCTGATGTCATTTTATCAGATTCTCATATTTTAATTTCAGATTAAGGATGTCTTTACCAGGCTTAAGTTCACAAGGGTTATAAACTTCTATTCAACGTTCTCCTGGACCTATCCTTTGTGTTCTTTAATCTTCATTATACGGTTTGTTCACCAATGTTCTCTAACAAACCTCTGAGGCCTTCCTAGAATAGCTGTGAAGGCTACACTCAAATTACATTAGACACAGACAGACTGAATTTAGGTGACTTCTAAAGACTTTTAAAGACATAAACAATTTCCTGCAAGTGATAAAGTAATTCTGATTCTGATTTTTACTATGTGGGCTGAATAGAAACTGTTTTAGATTGTTTTGATTTTTCAATTAATTTCATTTCAAATATATCGCTTTTTTCCCTCCAACTACACAATTACACAGTATTGTTTTGTTTTGTCACATGTCACATAAATTATATAAATCTAATTTATTGTGACACATGTCAATATTTAATATTACTGCATAACTGTATTGGAAATGCAGACAGGAAGTTTATTAGTTGTTGCTTGGTCAGATTTTCTAGTAACAGGCATTATAATGGTTCTCTATGCTTTCTTATGGTCTTTCACTGTTTTCCTTTGGTTCGCACACAACAAGTAAGTTAATATTATAACCAATCTTAGATTTACATGATTAAACAATTTATCAGGCAAAAAAAGGAAATTTTTATTTGATTTAAAGGTATGATGGCAGAAAACTGGATTTTAACCACAATATTCTTAATCTTGCAGTTGTCTTCTTGCAGGCTTTAAAGTTGACATAATTCATCATAACTTCTAATGTGGATGATATGTCTATCAGGCCATGTGTTCTCTCCTAGTAAATGTATTTCTCCCTATTTAAATAAACCAAACATAATTTTCTTTCCACCTACAAATGTGTTTTCCCTCCACATTTTTTTTTATCACTCTCATCTGTTCCCTCAATGCACATAAATGCTGTCATCATCAAGAAGATGGAGCAGAGTGATCATATGAACTAAGTGAAGGTTCATGCAAAATATGGTAGAATATGCAGCAGCAAAAAACACATAAGGTAACACACCAATAATATAATACTGATCATTCATATTACATTCACCTATTAAATTCATAATCACAGATGTCCTAAATCTGAAACAGAGTTATCCAAAGTTGGGGTTGTGAGTCCGCTTTCACAGTCATTTAAATGTGATCGATGAAGTAAAGTAAATGTTTGTCTCACATGAAAGGCATCAATGAACCATGACATAAGTAGATCTAAATTGTATTTATATCGGTTTTAATATTACATTAAATAACTATATTTCTCATTAGATAGTTAAAATACATTTAAAATGATAAATTAAATTAAATTCATGTATTTTAAAACTGATATAATTCATGGTATTTTTTTGTATGAATATAGGGTGAAATGGTTACATGTATTATTAGTGGATCATCACTGTATGGCAGTGCTACTTTTGGGGTCACTGGCTCAAAAGTTTGGGAACACAACAGAAAAGAAATAACACCTTAAAGTGTCACAATCTTTGATAGGTAAAGCCTTTTATCAGGATAAAAGCAAAACCATGACCCAACACTGTGGACATTGTAGGACATTTAGATAATAAATGATTTCAATTAAGAATTAATTTTTTTTGCTACATTTTATTGGCAAAGCAGCTGCACTAGATTTTGAGAGAAACCACCTTCTTTCCTGGACTTAAAGCCATTTTTCTTTCTTTAAATCATTTACACACATCAGATGTGGACTGAGGTTTTTTGTCATGCTTTATACTTTCAGTTATTTTATACTATAAACAAATATATGAGATAAAACTGAAACATATCAAACAGATGTACCAGACCATTTATTATTCATAGTACCATCTATAATTTGATCAATAACACAGTATTTGTGTAAGACATGCATTAAAAGCAGTTTTTCTTTCAATAACTGTACGAAAACTTTCAAGTAATATTTTACTTTTTTTTTTAAATATTCTTAAAATATCTAGTTTAGTAGTACAGGAGTTCTTATAATATAAAGAAACACTGAGAAACTCCAATATAAACAACATAATGAATTATGTTTAGAGGTGTGCAGCAACCAGTTATATTTACCTCATTATATAAGGTACCTGGATATCTTTGTAAAACAAATATAAATAAATACATTTCAGTGTATTTTTACCATACGTTTAACTTTTACTTGAATGGTATTCTCATGGATTAGTGTAAAATATTTGGCTACTCCACCCACTACAGGTAATTTCACTAAATAAAGAGGTGAAAAGATGTGTAAAATGAGTCTTCTTGTTTCTTCACAAGCTTTGGTGTTTTAATAGTGCTTTATATTTGTGTAGCCTGCTGTGAGCGGTTCAGATGAAGCGAATATTTAATAAACATTAGATATCATACATGGAGGCACACTACCCTCTCCTAAGATACAAAATCACCCATTTTTATACATTTAATTCCGATTTTTTTTGTGTGTGTGTGTGTGTTTATTCTGCATGAATTTACTTTGAATTTTAATATCAGTGTTTGGAAAACCTGAATTTGGACAGAAACATTTATTGTTGTCTGTCTAATAATGTTTTAAAATACAAAATGAAATGTATTAATTACCATAAAACCAATGGGTTCATTTCTATGGAAGAGGATTAGGGCCACTGAAAAAAAAAAAAGCTAAAGGATTTTTAAATATTATTTCAGTTTAATATGGGGAAAAAAGGTCAGAATTCTGACTTTTTTTCTCAAAATTCTGACTTTTCTCCCATACTTAACTGAAATTAAATTTAAAAATCAATTAACTTTTTTTTTATTTTTTTCAGTGCTCTATCTGTCTAGAGCAAGTTTGTTGAAATAAAATGTCACTAATCATGAAGGAAATGGTTAACACAATGGTATCAAGATTTAAAAAATGTAGAACAACGTTTAAAGAGTTACCTTTCAGAATAAAGGTCTATGGTTTAGCTTTAGATAACCACACAGGACGCAAATAAGGCAGTGATACAGTTTTGATGTTAATAACAGCCCATATGTACCATAATGTAAGATATTTATGTCAAAAATTACATTTTTAAAGTTCTTTTTTTTTTCATTGTGGGAGAAAGCCCCTGCTTATAATTCCCCCCAGAAATGGCTTATATTTTACTTTGAAAGTACAAACCGGAAGTTACTGCCTTTACAACGTCAGACTTCACGCGGTTGGAGGTGTGGATGGACACAAATCCCTTGGAAAAAGTCGCGGCTGTGAGAAGTTTTGCTTTCTTTTTGTCGCCAGTCAAACATTAGGAGGATGTTCTGTCTGTTTATGACGAAGAGAAGGCTGCGTTTCCATGATGGCGACAACAAAACAGCTGCTGTTCCCCTGACATGACAGCAGAGCCCCCAACCTCAGGAGAGAAAGTTTCCGCAGCAACTTTTCTAAAAACTATTTCAGTTATTAACATTCGGAGAAAAAGAAAACAACCGTAACTATGGCCAACTTCGCTTCTGTTTCCATTCGGGTATTTGTTTTCAGCTTCTTCTTTGGTGCGTTTAAATGTCAGTTTTCAATCCCTTTGAAAATGTACCCGGGGAAGTTTAATTTATCATCCGGGGCGAACTCGTCCTCAGTCCGGGTTCTGGCGCTGAAGTCGGATGGAGACGGCCTCTCTCTGGCCTCTGATCCCAGCGGGACTGTCAACTTTCTGGACATGGTCAATAATCTACAGGGGGACTCAGGTAGAGGCTACTACATAGAGATGTCCATTGGCACGCCTGGCCAAAAGGTACAGCAGTCTATTATCAGACTCTTTTCCTTAAGATGTTTTTGTTTTATTTAATTCTTTTCTTTTAACTTAATGAACTACAGTCTCTCTCTCTCCATTGAATCAATGTTGTATTTTATTGAAAATGCTTGAAATACAATGATTCCTGTGTCACATGAAGGAGGGGAAAGTGACTCATTATTAGTCTTTCTAACCAGCTGTTATTTTCTAAGGACCCAAACTCACATGAGCTCACATGATGCTGCCTGTGAGGAACCAGAGTGTTTCCTTCCAGGCAGCTGACTGGGATTATGAGGCTCCCATGGAGCAAGGAGCTGCCCCAGTCTGAGAAAAAAAAAACTATAGCTCCCAGCAGACATTTGCTGTAAAAAAAAGAAAAAAAAGAAAACACAATTTCATCTGTAGTTGGTTATAAATAAGGGATTGTACTGCATGTTCAGTGCCACAACTTAAGTTATTTTAAATCTCTCAGGTTAGATTAAAAGCTGTTAATTGTTTTGACCAAACAATCATGAAAATGTACTTAATTTCAAGATTTATTTTGAGAATGACTGAAATATACAACTTTTTTTTTTAATAAAAACAGCAAATTAAGCCAGAAAGTCAAATTTGTTTCTGCAAAATATAGTGTTTACCTTCATAAGCAGTAACAGATGCATTAAAACAGCACTCATCCAATGTACATTCTGTTCTGGAGCATAAATGGTTTTTAAATCCTGAAAACAAGATATAATGTCACATTTCTTTATGGATAATTTTGCAGGCTAATTAGCCATCTCATTGCATAACAAATCAGCTGACTCAAACTATTAATAACAGTATATGATTCCTTTAAAGAACAAAAAAAAATCAATCAAACTTTGGACCAAAACCTCCGCAACAAGCTCCTGCAGTACTCTTCTTACTTGACTTTACTATTGAAAATTGTTTGAATTGCAACCCAAGCTAAAAGATTTTGAAAAAAAAATAGTTTTTTCTTCCGTTCAGCCATCCTAAACATTTAAAGTCACATGCCAGGTGTGGGTTAGACACACCTTAAATAGTAGCTCAGTGACTTGTCTTTTTAGTTTATAAAAGTAAAAGCAATAATAAAATCAGAAATATTAAAAAATAAATGAATAGCCATGCCCGATTTTTAGCCGTGTATTAATCACCCACGGCTGGAACTGCAACAAAAATGATTTCCCCTTTTAAAGATAAAAAAATCCCATTGTCATAAGTAGCCATTCAGTGCAACAACACATACATTATGTGCTGTAAAACTGTGCTGTTTGTTCAATAATGGTTATCAATAATATTATGACTAGAAAACATAGCTTTTAATACAGATTTCATTATACCCGTGGTGGGAAAACCTGTCCAAACAGCCAGGGTAAAAACCCAAACAACATTTTTGAGGGTTTTCCAACATCAGTTATAATTTTTTTTTACAATTATCTATCATGATTGCTTCATAAACGGTATAATAATTGGTCATTCCTACCTCCAACTCCATTTCTTTGAGGTGCAAGACAAATTTTGCCGGGGGTAACCTGGCGTCATTTTATTCCTCTTGTAACATAAAGTGCCTAACAAGATCATATTAATGATTAAGGGGGACTAAATGTGCATGAGTGGGGAATTAAGAATACATGAGGCCTTAGGGGTGGCAGCCATTTGCCATTGTGTTCGAGTGGAAGCGTTTGAAGCACAGCTTAAAGCAAAGGTGAATTATCTCATTAGTAGGCTGACCTGCTGGCCCCGGGGCCTCTGCAGTTAAACAGATCAGAGCTTTAAAGACTCCTGGGTGGTGCAGCTTAGTTTCTCTGTCTCATAGAGGCTTATCAGTTTTCCTTGCTATGGGGCTGCAGAGGAACGAACAAAAACATGAAGAAAAATCACAGCTTTGAAAATTAATTTAAGAATAGAAAGCATCCTAAAATTAATTACTATTATTTTCTTTTTGCTTTGATTGTAATTGTGCAAGCACTAATGATAAATTACTGCAGGGCTTCTTTTAGCATGCTACAGGAAAAAAAGAGGGCTTGATTTGAAATTATAAAAAGGCAAAAGGGAAGTTATAGATAGACAAAGAGATGGAGGGGAAAAAAACTGGCTTACAACACTGCCATGTGAATCTTTCATAAGAAATCTCTGAGTGTTCCTCATAGTTTCACACTCCACTTAATAGGCAGGCGCCACAATGAAAAGAGATTAAAATATTTAAAGCATGGCCATGTGTGAAGGCATGCGTCTGTATGAGTTTCTCTCTGAAGGAAAACCTTTAATAAAACACCAAAACTTCAGGACAGTACAGCATAAAACATGTCAAGCAGAAATATTTAACATGTTGCTGATGAAGATTCTCAGTCATCCAGGTTGTCGTCATTCCGTAAAAGTTAAAAAAACAATCCACTAGACTTGGACCAAGTCCAGTGGATTATTTTTTTAACTTTTACAATTTTAACATGTTATTGTGTTCATTTAAAACGGATCATTAATTCTTTCATAACACTGATTAAAGTGATGGGTGGCTTTCCTTTAGTTCGCACATAATGACTGCCTCTTTGTGTCATAACTAAACATTTTTCTGGGCAGCCTAGATCCTTCCTACTAAGGGGAGAAAAATTGTTCCAGCTGTCTGGCAGTGCTCAGCAGCAGCTGCCAGTGGGGCAAAAACATTAGTCCACCGTATGCAGCTCTTTCTCTGGCAGCCAATTAATATAATTTGAACTGTAGAAAGTGGATGATTGAGAAGTTTGCAGTTTCGTAACCATAACTTTAAACATTTCTTTACCTCTATTACTATGATGGTTTCCCAGAAAATAACTGATGTATTCGGGAAGTGTAGTCGGAAATACTGAATATAATTTTACAAAGTTTACTATTGTTTCTATCATGGTGTCAAAAGAATTAAAGATTTCTTCTAAAAGTGCAGCAATCAAAGGGAGGCTGATCAGATTAATCTTCATTAATCGATTATTGAAATAATTGTCAACTAATTTAGCAATCGATTAATCTTTTACTTGAGTTTAGAGACTTTAAAACATGCCTATAGCTGAGCAACCCACTTAAAGCAGTAATTATAGCAAAATTGTAATAAAATATACAAACATTTTGCATTTAAGATAAAAATAAAAATAAATTCTCTTTCAGTATGGTGTATCCAGAACTCCTCAAGTGGAAGTTATAGTTTCACTTGGTTTATTTTTGGGAAAAAAAAATAAAAAAATTTTGCTATCCAATTATTAATCAAAAAATAATAAACAGATTATTCAATTAGAAAAATAATAATTTCTTGCAGCCCTAATTCAAATCAACCAGGGGTTCATGTCAGATTATCACATTGGCAAAGTGAGAGAAAAGTGGGTTGTTTTCTGCTTTTACTCAACTGTAAACTCTTGGACATGCACAGCTTCTCAGAGGGGATATACAGGAATGTTTTTGAGTGACAGTAGTATATTTTAAGTTCTTCTTTTTCACTTGGATGAAAATGTTGGATTAAATTTGAGTGAAAAGGCTATCCTGTTTCTCTTTCTGTAGTTAATGATTACATTAGGTTTTAAAACAAAAGACCAGACAACTTGGTTTCTCTATATTTCAATCTCTGGTTAAAAAGAATAAAATATGCAGATGAGACAAGGACTGTATTCAGTCAACTAGTCTTAGAATACCAAAACTCGTTTATTTACGGGATGAAATAATGAGTTTTAGGTGTGAATATCAGCAGATGATCGCTTACTTTATGTTGTGGTACTTTTGGTGTAATTCAATTCATTTCAGTTTATTTTTATAGCACCAATTCACAACACGTCATCTGGGATTTACAGAGACAATTCAACCAGATCATACAGTCAAAATGATTCAAAGTTTTCTATCTAAGGAAAACCAGCTGATGCATTGACTCATTGACTCAAAGGCAATCCTTCACACCAAACATGTTTGTAGCAACAGTGGAGAGGAAAAACTCCCTTTTAACATCAAGAAACCTCCAGCAGAACCAGGCTCAGTGTGAGCGGCCATCTGCTGAGGACGACTGGAGATCAAGGAGACAGAAGCAGAGATACAGAGAGATGCAGAGATACAAAAGGCAACTGTCAACCAGCTCCACAGGCGGCCCCGTCCAGGAAACACACAGTCAGGCAGACACGCTCTGAGCCAGCTCCCATGTCAGAGGATGAAGAGAGCACATCCAGCCAGTCACAGTCAGAGAAACAGGACTACACTGGAAAAACAGGCCAAGCTCCAACATCTATCAACAAAGGTGTTGATGGCAGCAGCACAGCTGATATTTCTCTCCAGGATGGAATCACAGACCAGATTAAGCTACTATGAGAAAAAAACAAAGAGAGCAGAACGTTAGAGTTAGAACTGACAAATACTGCAGAGTGGGAGAATAGAGATGGAATGAAGCAGAATGATGAAAAGGGGGTGATGTACATTAGTTTTAATAACTAGTTTTAGTAACCTGCTAATTCAGCCAGCACTGATCCTTTGGAAGTTCAGCCATGTGAAGATCAGTCAATGATGTTTGTATTTCCTCACATATGTTTTCTGATGTACCAGATGACTGACTGCTGCTTGAGGTCTGTTTCATGTCACTTTCTCCATACACAGAGCAAAGGAGCAGGGTGAAAAGGAAACACCTCTATGGCAGTTCTAGTAAATTATCTTGCATTATTGTTTATGCTGTGCTAAAGTGTTATTATTTGGACGTAACTCTACTTAGGATTGATAGGCGAGTTGATTATAAGCTGTAAATATTGTGCAGGTATATGCAGTATGGAGAAGTTAGTCTGGAATTTGTTTTTTGCCATCCAGGTATGGCTGACGAATTTAAAGTAAGATTTTTTAAGAACATAAACATATTTGCAGTTCTCCTAAATCCATTTGGTAATCTCATAACCTTCTGTCCTTTCCATCTGCCTTGGTCCTTTCTTCCTTCTTCATGTACTTACCTGATCTCTTTTAGTCTGCTGTTCCTTTTCCTCTGTCTTTTCTCCCTCTGTTCCTGTATTTTAAGCGTTAAAAAAAATCCTATTTTGTTTTTACATAGATATACTTAAAATGTATGTATTTTGTACCACCTTTTGCTATTCCTGCTCAGATAAAATGGCCAATAAACATTTCCTCTCTGGCATAATTACAGCGAGTCCATTACATCAGTTATTCACGCCAGCAGAGCTCAATCCACTTTGGTTTCAATTGGTTATTTGTTGCCAGAATGTCCTGTAATTCAATACGATTGGGTCACACTCTCCGTATTATGCTAACTAAATCATGATGTGATTACAGGGCCGTGGTGTTAAACGAGGCGCTATTCAAATCAGCCTCTAATTGCTGCATCTGTTAACATGTGGCACAGCCGGGCTGAGAGAGGCTGCGGAGAGCTCTCCCATCTGCTAATTGGTACAAACAGGTAGCAGATGCACATTGCCACCATGGAGCCGCTGCCAATTAGGCAGCGAACGCTCAACTGCAGGCTGCTGAGACAAGAGGGGGAGAGAGAGAGAGAGACACACACACAGAGACAAGAAAAAGTGCCTTTTACTGTCCTTCCTCACAAGTTTCCGGTATTTTCCAGTCAGGCTTGTTTGGCTTGTTTTGGCAACGGATTCCTGCTGTGAACAAGGTGATGCTGGGGATTTTAGGATGACAGTGAAGAGACCAGAACAAGTTCTGAAAGAAGGAACTCATAACCCGATTGAAACTTTATAAGAACAAGTAAATAAAATAAAACATTGATTATTATATCATTGCATAATGTCTAAACACAAACCTTTGCTTAACAGTGAGGAAGCATTCATTAAACAGGTTTAGAAGCAAAGTATGAGGAAGTTTTTGGCTTCACCCTCTACACTTTTAGTATTTTAAGCTACTTCCTGCTTGTCCACTGCTTACAGTAAAAGACTGCTGATCTTAGATTTCACCTGCTGGTTGAAGGAATCAGAGTTTCCACAGATGTGGGAGCTAACATGTGGTTGTGGGGCCTTCCCATAGCGAGGAGTGGTTTTCAGTGATGGTTGATTTGGCCTCTGCTGGAGCAGAGGAGGTGACAGGACTCCACTATCTAATTAGCTGATGCTCGCTAGCTAACTTGCCTGGAAGACAGAATTATATCCATCGCTGCTTGCCGTTCCACACATGACACATACCCAAACGGCTGGCGAGGGCGTATGTTCATGTCCGCCGCTCAGGGCTGTCGTGATCGTCTACCAGATAGAAAGTAATTATGTCACAATCTGTCTCTTTGCTTAACAGCAGTTTTTGTGATCATGGAGACGGTACAACCAGCAAAGTGACAAGTTTATCTTTTATTTTCTGTCCGCAAAAAGATGAAGTCACATTGCAGTAACCACAAAGACAGTGGATTCTTTTTCAGTTTTAATCCATTTAATCCCCTCAATGAAATAAAATGCATAACCTATTGTAGACTGGTTGCTTCTCTGCTGTCATTTCTTACAGTGTTTTTTGTCCAAGTGAGTTATTTATACAAGGAAGGAAGCGTAGCTGATAACTTTGTTTGTTAAAGCAAACTCTTCCTTGTGTGTTTCAGCTCAACATCCTGGTGGACACAGGCAGCAGCAACTTTGCTGTGGCTTCGGCTCCACACCCATACATTACTCGCTACTTCAACACTAAGCTGTGAGTGACACTTTGTGTGGAAATGTCTGCATACTCTCCAAAATAACTAGACTGTTACAGTTGTAGATCATAATTTGGCATTAATGTGTGCAGAGAGATTTTCACAGAAATAATAAATATCCTTTTCAGTAAATGTAAAGTTCAGTTATTCAAGTAATTTTGTGGAAATACTTAATTATTAAACATGGAGGGATTTTCCAGATTTCTATTTCTCTTGTTTATTGTGATTCTGGCCCTCAGCCAATGAGAAATCCTGATTCAATTTCCTCAGAAAAGTATAACCAACCAATTAAAAACATTTTATGGCAGAAATGTTATTACCATACAGTCATGGTGAAGACAGACTTGGCACTTGCTGAGCAGAGTCATTGACTCACTTCACAAAGAGGGTGAATCTGAGAAAACCACAACCTGAGGAGCTGGCTGTTCAGATTGCTGTATCCTAGCAATAGAAAGTTTAGTGGAAGGAAAAGATCCAGTACAAAAGTCAAAAATTCTCAGGGATAACCGCAGGAAAGAATCATGGGATTTGTTGTCACAGTGGCTCGCTGTCGCTACCAGATAGCGGCGACAAATAACAAAGATGCCGCAGGTACCGAGTTGGGAGGCGGACTTATGTAAACAACATTGAGTGAAAAGTCTTTCAGAACGGTCAGTTAACTGAGTTCACTATTAAGTCCACTATATAGTCCCGCTCTATATAGTGATTGAAGGATTTAGATGTTAGGACGGACGTTCAGACACAGCTTTATTGTCACTGCAGAATAAAGCAGGACATTGTTCTCTACTGAACCAGAGATATTGGAGCCATCAACGGAGCTAAAAAATAAAGGGGATTAAACCAAAACTCCACTTTGAATTTTTATTAAACTTTGCATTTAATGAAATTATGAGTCCACAGGAAGACTAGAGAAGTCCACTGGTTTCCACAGTTCATGATAGTTTTGGTGCTACACAGGATGCTCCCTGCTAGGAAAATGTATACACACACCTTAGCTTCCTCTGCAAACGAGCTTTATTACAGTCCTAATTTTGGTTTCCTGCAGTTCTTGACGCCTGCCCACACTGCCAAAGGAATCCATACCTTTCACTGTGTTGGATTCAGGCAAATAGAGAAACCACGGTGGCGATAAGAGACAACAGAACAGAAGGCTAATCACCTCCATCAGAAGGAGCATTGGTCTCATAATTAATGAAAAAAAAAGCTCAAATCAAGTATTGACTTTGCATACTGTGGTGAGAGCCATGTCAGGAGGAGGAAATCATTTAATTGATCATGTAGTGTTATATTAAACTTTTTGAGGAAATTCATTTTGGAAGCATTCATCAAAATGAACAGAAAAAAACTCTTTGCAGTTAATCTGTAGGAGCTTCAGTTCTTAAATTACTGAAATAAACCTATTGCTGATATTCTAATTTCTTGAGATGCATCTATGCTTTAGCTTTGTTCCCTCTTTTTTATGACACAGACGATGTTAATATAAGGTACTCTACACCTGCACACTTCTGTTCACACTCTTCGGCTTCTTCCTGTCCCTGCAGCTCCACTACCTACCAGTCAACTAGTCGCTTAGTAGCTGTCAGATACACACAAGGCAACTGGGAGGGCGAGCTGGGAACGGACCTCGTCACCATCCCAAACGGACCAAATGGAACCATCGCTGTTAACATTGCATCCATCCTATCATCTGACAGCTTCTTTTTGCCTGGGATCAACTGGCAAGGCATTCTGGGGCTGGCCTACCCTATGCTGGCAATGGTGAGATGTACGCTCTTTAATTTTAACCCAGTAAGACCTTTAAAAAAACAACACCACCAAATAGAGATATTAGCCTGACATTTATTTTGCTCAGATGTTCTTTTCTGCAGGAAAACTTTAGCATGCCGCTCCAACATGAGTAAACAGACCGCGGAAGCTGCTGTAGTGTCCTGACAGTGCATGAAATGCGGTCAAAGAAACAAATATGCATCAGAGCAATAAAATAGCTTTGCAAATGGAGATGATTTAGTTGATATTACCTTTTATCTGCCAAGCAGGACTGTGTGAGGTCATGCTCTGCATATTAGTTAGGGTTACGCATTCTTTTCAGTCTGAGATCATATCTAGATGTTTTCATTGATGTTTTCACATGACAACAGAATGGATATATTATCCTAATTCATTTACATCAGTCCACTGTGACATGCACGTCTTTGTTCTCTTTAACTTGCTTTTGTTTTCAAATTGGTTTAATCTTATTTCCTCTGTATTCCATACGGAGATTCTGAATGGATTTGATTCACATGATTCATATCTTTTTGATGAGACGGAAAAAGTATTTACCCTTGTATAGATTTCTTCTTTTTATGCTTTTTTATCCCATTTAAAGGTTTTAGATCATCAAACATATGTTAAAGTCAGGAAGCAATAACCAGCATTAATACAAAAAAAATTAAAAAATCCATTTAATTTTATTCATTCAAGAATTTATTTCAGACAATTTGACAAAAAACAATAAATAAATCAACCAAATACACACAAAAGAGACTAATTAACATCAACCAAACCAACCACCAATTTCCAAAATAAATTCACCTGAACATAAAGAGAAACAAAAGCCTCCGCCAAAATAAACCTGTAGGCATATACATCCATAGAAATGACATCATTAAAGTAATGTACTAATGTAAG